GATGACGCAGGAAAAAAAGCAGAAGACGTGGCTCACAACATATCTCTTGACCTTCATCTTGTTGCACAACATTGGTCTGATAACCAAGCACGATGCAGACTACGCCAAAAAGCACGGCATGCAGGTGGGTTTCTTCGTATTGGGGCCGGAAGACATGGTGACTCGACTGACAATATCGCCAGACTCGGTTCGCGCGAGAGGCCCATGTCAAGGAATACAACTTGGGTGAGTGCGCCTTCCGGAGGTGTGTTGGGATGACTGGCAACTGACACGACAACTAGGGGCGAATACCCTCCTTGCCTACTTCCACTACTGCAACAAGGCCATCTACCCATTCTCCAGCGAGTGTAAAGACCAGGACCTGCAGACCTTGGCGGAGCTCGACGACGAGGCCATCTCGTTCGTCCATTATACTCGAAAGATGGTTGCTGAACATAGTAAGTCGGCCTGAACCACCCTAGGAATCGTATCTGACTCAGCTGCCTCAGAAAAAGAACGATAGAGGTTGTGGGCCAAAGAGATTTACGAGGACGAGTACTATTATGGGAGCCAGCTCTTCGAGCACAACTGGCAACCCCGGACCATGGCCTAGTCGTTTTCTTGGGCGGGACTTTCGATTTGTGCGGGTAGGAGCGAATGTTGTTTGTGTGTGACAGGAGAATCTTTCCGGGAGTGGTCAACCGACTATTTGTGGGCGAGGGGGTAGCGATGAGGGGCCTCTTCCGTCACTGCCGAAGGTTGTCGACTTGGTAAGGAATGGCTGCTTTCTTGGTTGTTCCGGGGACTCGAGGTTTGACATTGACAAATAACCACGGGGGGACAATTCTGGGATCCACTCGAGGTACGACCGTTCGTGTTGTGAAATACTTGCCTGACATGGTTCAACCCAAAAGTCTTTCCTAAACATGCCGTCTGCCAGGTCAGGTCGAGGAATGCCTCGGGGGTTTTCCCTTCTTTCGTGCCCTCCATCCCATTTGGAAGCGGGTTTACGTCGGATACGCTGCGACAGGATCAAGGAACCCCCAATCATCGACTGCAGACACCACAGGCCCAGCTGCATCGCAACGCATCTCCATCGTGCTGTGAAAACCGCAGCGAGCCAATCGCGGAATGGCGGCATGTTCCAGCGGATGCGACTGCAGATCCCCAGTTGTTGCACCCCGCCCCTCTGATTGCAGAGCTAGCGCTCCCAGCTCCTCAAGGACCCGGGTTCAGGGGTTTTGGCAATGGGGACACAGATCTTTCTTATCCGATCCGATCTTTGCTTCCTGGTCGATGGCTGGCTGGAAACTCACAAATACGGGGATGAGACAGCTGGGCTGGACGTCGGGTGGCTGCAGGTCGCCGGAAACTCAACCCGGGCCATGTGTAAGATAACTATCGTTTTCGTCCTTGTTTTCCCCCCTTTCTGCTCCATCTTGTGTCTCATTTCCTCACCGGCTCAAGCCACAGCCCACATGTTGATGTCAGACCACGTCTTTCCAGCTCTGCTTCTAACCACAATCGGACTTTCCCGCACCCTTTCTTTTGATCAGAAACCGGGGCCCAGTGAACGGCGCCAAAAGAAAACGGAGAGAGAAAAAAAGATTGGGACCATGCCCGCCACGAGGGCGACTTGGTACTTGCCTCTGCATCTCAGATGCACCTCTGCTAATGTAGCGACACTGCCCGAAGCCGCCAACAACTGCAACCACAACCACAACCACAACTGCAATCGCGCGACGTATTTCCCATCTCATGCAGCTGATGTACCACTTTGGCAATTCTCGGTCGCACCAACCACCTGCAACCGCGGGAAATTTTTGCGTGTCAATGAGTTCCCGTCCCGCCTGCGTCCGAGATGAGATCTGTCGAGGCCAGGGACGGGAGAGGCTTTTTGGTGTGTCAAAGTTCTCGCATTTCCCTTGCATACGATTCTAGAATTCCAAACCTTGCCCCGGCGAGAATTCTTCACCATTTCCTCCGAGCTTTTGCGCAGCTTGCCGAGCTGAACAGCAAACCCCGTATTCCATCCGCCATTGAGGATCGCACTTTGACGATTCTTAATACACTTTGAGCCCCAGCCAAACATGGCCGCCCCAGCCAAGAAAGGCACGACATCAACGCCCACCAGCACATGCCGCTTTGGGTTTCCAAGCTGCCGCCGGTTCTCTCCATGCCCCATTCCTTCCGTACCAGTCTAAATGGATGACGAGGCCAGTGTTGTACAATGGAAGGAACAACCTTGTACTCCCCACGGCCACCTTCTTCCACTGCAGGAATGTAGTTTCCAGTAGTTATTACCGTCTCTTGTGCCACTTCAGAATCTTCCGGTTTCTTTTTTTTCTTTTTCTCCTCCCCTTCTCTGCTTCTCGCGCCTGCGTGTTTTATGTTTGGTTGTTTCACCAGCTACCCTTGTTTCCGCCACATCTTATCATACCCGTTGCTTCGCTTGCCAGCATGGATGGAATGCACTTGTTCGGCGTGCTGGCCGCCTCCGAGTCTGTTACCTGCCACTACCTTGCCTACATGTATTATGTCTCGACATGCCACCTCTGCCCTACATGCAGGTGGTGCATGACCTAGCAGATTAGTGTCTCCGATGGCGGGTCCCCGATCTCGTCCAGAACTTCCAGGTTCCGCGGGCAAGCGCCCCGGTTGCGGTCGAACGCCATCCTACCGCAGCCCCTGCCATCTGCTTGTGATCATCAGCTGGTGGTCGGCAAGTGCAAATCGTCAAAGGTAGTTAGCCCGTCGAGGGGCGCGCCTCTCGGTCTGCCGCCCCTCTCTAGGTCCATCACAGAAGGCACCGCTCACCTGCTATTACGGTCCCCACCCGTCACTCCCGAACGCCTCCTTCCATCTCTCGAGCCCAGTCTCACCTATCGTTCGCCGAACCTGGTGCCCCCTGCCTCGGTACCTTGGTGTCCTGTACATATCTACCTCAACCCACTCATCTCTCGAGCAGGAGCGGCGGGGCACAGTACCGCCCGTTCTCCAAGGGGGAAGAGCTGCCTACTTGACGTCGTCCCATCCGTCTGGCTGGGTGGCTGCCGCTCTAGTGTCACCGCTGGACCCGGCCTCCGTCGTCTGTGTACGACGGCGTTATTCTATAATCTCTCTGTTGCCCGCTAGGCCTGCGTTTTCCCTCGCTCGCCGACCACAAACAGAAGAAGGGGCTATTGGCAGGCTGTTGTCTGTTCGACGTCAATCGGTGTGTTTGGTCTCCCTATCTCCTTTCTGGGATGTCGGACTGCTCGCCAAAACAAATCTTTCCGTCTATATAAGTCGGCTTGGACTCGTCTCTCTTCCCATCCATCAGACTCATCCGTCCAGTCTTTCAACTCTCACCAATCCTCGATTCGTTCGTTCTCTGCTTCGTCTTCTTCGTACCAATCCACTTGCGATATTTCAAATACACAGTTGTTCGACGCTCCAAGCACCCCTTCGTTTTTTCCCCACCCAGCCAGCCATTGTTGACAGCCGGACTCCCTTTCGAGGTGGGTTCCCCCCATCCTTCCCTTGACCCCGATGCATGCTGGTTATGGGGTCGCGGGTGCGTCCGTACTGGGTGCTGATATGCGAGCAGGTAATTCAACGTCAAGATGTCCATTGCAAGTGCCGGACCCGTTCTCGCCGCGGCCACCGCCCCAGTCGTTGGCACTCCCAACTTGGCCCTGCACGCCAAAACTAATGCCGATGTCCCCACCCTTCCGGCCGGATTCCCCGCCCATCTGCCGGATAAGTTGGCCTGGACCGGCTCCGACTTCAACAAGACATCTGACCACATCCTGAACTTGAGTGGTACCCACCTCGCCGAAATCAGAGCGGCTCTTGGAAGCTACAAATGTAAGCACTGGCCCCTTGCCCGAATCCTTTCCCGTCCGTTTTCTTTTGCTAACAAGTTCTGGCCAGCTCTCGGTCAAGATGGTGACCTCGTGGAACCCACCAACTTTCCACTCCCGACACTCGGCCCGAAGCTCAAGGAGCTCAGCGGTGACATCCATAATGGCAGGGGATTCTGTGTCATCCGGGGTCTCAACCCTGCTTCCTACACCGTTGAGGACTTGACTCTGGTCTACCTTGGCGTTCAGTCGTACATTGCCGAGCAGCGCGGCCGCCAGGACAAGTGTGGAAACATGCTCGGTAAGTGAAGACACATTCACCTCTCTACCATTAGGCACATTCTAACAGTTGGGTAGTCCATATTGTTGCGGATAACAGCACCAAGCAGGCGGCCGAGCATCATCGGCATTCGACTAAAGCAATTGTTAGTTCCTACCCGGTGCACTCCATGGCGTGGATGCGGATGTCGGCTAACCACGTTCGGTCCACTTAGACGTTCCACAACGAGAAGCTGGCGATGTCGTCAGCTGGTGACTCCGTAGCACCGCCACAGTACATTGTGGTGCATCATTGCTCTGCTACACCGATGAAACGTCTGGCAGCTACCCGGCCCGATGTGATTCGCACTTTGTCCCGGTCTGACTGGCCTTTCGCCATGTAAGTGACGCCCAGTGACCTGATAGAATTCACCGACTGACGGCTTTTTCTAGGCCACGCTTCCAGTGCCGTCCGGTTATCTTCTACCGGGATTCGAAGCTGGTCATGAACTTTGGTCGCGCCGCTCTTCTAGGCAGCGATGCTCATCCCCGACCTCAGCATCTGCCCTCCCTGACAGCCCGCCAGATCGAAGCCTTGGATGCCATCGAGGCCATTGCGCAGGCTACTCAGCTGGAGATCCAGACTCAGGCAGGGGACATGCATTTCATCAACAACCTCGCCATCCTTCACCGCCGCGAAGGCTTTGCTAATGGACAAGCCCGTACCGAGAAACGCCACCTGGTGCGCATGCGGCTTCGCAGTGCCAAGCAAGGATGGTCGATCCCTCGCGAGCTCGAGGGGGAGTGGGACGAAGCGTTCAAGAAGCATGGCGTCAAGCACTGGCACGTGGAGCCGATGCCCTCGTACTTTTTCCCCATGCGCCTCTATCCCAACTAGGCGACGAGGCCCCCCCCCCCTCCCCCCATCGTGGTTGTACTTTGTTTTCGTCCCTTTTCTCATTGCATTCGAGGCGTTGTCAGACCAAAGCCGGATATGGGAAGGGGGACAAAAAGACACGGTGGCGTTTCGGTTGGAATTTGATATTATTTCATCTATGATTGGTTTTTTAGGACGGTAATGACTGGAGGTGTTAGCAAGGGGGTGGGCACACAAACTGTATCCACATTGCTGGCCGGCTTCCGGTGCAAGTTTGCTACTTTGCCTATTATTTTTTTCCTCTTTCAACAAAGTCAGCTAGTTCAACCAGGAACTGGTCACAAGATTAGCCTGATCGACATGGGCGTTGGCCCCATTCTCAAATTCTAGGTATTTGAAGTGCCGGGCATGAAGCTTTCTGCCAAAGCAATCCACTGCAAATATTCCAAGGTTCCATCCGGGTGCACAAAAATTGCCAACCGCATCCCATCCCAACGTTCCAAGACCGGGATCCACACGACCCCTCACAAGATTGGATTCCCATTTGTAGAGAACCAACAAAGGTGCCAAACTATCACGCCTGCATAGGTAGCTGTGCAGGGAAGCTACTCGTAGAGGGGGCTAGCCAGCATGGGTCTTGGGGGAGCTGGCAACGGGGTATTTACCACGTTCAGAAGCACGCGCAGACGAAGAAGCATGGTTCCGGTCCACACCATGTTCGATCTTTGCCCAGCGGAAGTGTCGCCATGTTATTAGTTCGGTTGGATGAGGAATAGCTTACTGTCCAATATCGTCGGGGCCGTCTTCCGCGGCTGGGTCTCAAGCGGAGAGCGGAGTGGGGTGGAGGTGGGCGAAAACGCAAGCAGCAGCTTCACTTACACACAAGGCAGTAACTACCCAGGTAAGTAACGAGCTGTGACGATGCTCCCGCCAAGATGCGCTACACGATCTGACACGATCATGTACTTGTGCAAAAGTACCGGTGGAGTTTTTTGAGCCTTTTCAAGATGGGATATTCCGAGACCAACATTTTTTTTAGCGAGATGCAAACATGCAGTTATGTATCACCATCCTCCCGGCAGTTGCCCCGAGGTTACATTTCCGATCGGATCGGAGTGGGTCTCCAAAAGCCGGGCAGACTGGTCCACTTTTTCCACTTCCTTCCACCAAGGGGAAGGAGGGGATGCGCGTGCGGGGATTCATCACACCTCAACAAGCTGTGTCTCATCTGCACCTTCCCTCCCAGCCACGCGCCTCTCTGGTCCATTTTTTCTTCTTTTCTTTTTTTGCGTGGCTTTTCAGATATGCAGACAATCGGTAGCGGGCGCTGTTGTGGCGGCGGGCGAAATTCCATGGTCAGTCCCCAACTTTCCCATTGCCCAGGACCCCGAATTCTCGCTCGGCGTTCTGGGTGAGGTCGACCCCCACAGCATGGAAACCATCGATCATTCCGCCAAACAGGACAGGAGCGCTGCTCGCTTCTTCTTCCTTTTTTTTTTTTTTTTCTTTTTTTTTTGAGGCCAGCCCTGCCTTGCGGCTCTTGCAGCAGTGGCAATCTGGCCCGGCAGATCATAGATCCACTGCGTCCCAAGGGTTTGGGACGGCCGATCCTCACCCTCTCTTCGGGCTCACCAAGAAACCCTAAAGACTGAAGAGCGGGTCGGTCGGAGCCCAACAAATCGAATCAGCGGTGAGGTGAGATGTCCCCGTCCCACGGCGAGCAAAAAGGGAATAAATGAATGAATGAATGCCAGGGCCCGTCGGAGAGAAACCGAAGGCCGAATTCTTGCGCACCACCACCATCACCGCCAGCCACCCAACTCGGGAGTTGCTTCGCGCAAAAGGAGGATTTGGTAGCGAGGAAACTAGCTAGGTGGTGACTTGCCTAAAAGTAGCACATGAGAAAGGGCTTCCTCACCACACCTGCACCCCGCGCAACCACCCGTCACTCATCACACCGCCCCATCCCACACGACGACCGCAGGAACGAAAATGCCGTCTGTCATTCGGACGTCTCCATGGCACATCACACAAATACGATGCCTGATTCACGGTTCCGGTTTTTGTGGTTGCTATGCCATGCCGATCCCGTGCAGGTTTGGGGATAGCCTGGGGTTCTGGAGGCGGCTGAAAAGGGACGGCAGCATCGGTCTTTTGAGGCTGGCGGGGCAATTGCTTTTTCCCCCAATGCCCGAACCGGGATTGGGGTGGGACTTTTTGTTCGTCTCATGCGCGGGAAGCCACAAAAGGGCTAAGTTCTGTCCCTATGTGTAAGCCATATGGTTGCGATTGGCTGGACCAGAACGGCCTGGTTGGGCGATCCCCACGTTTTTACGCTGGTACGTTCTGCTTATCAAGACGTCTTGCCGTTTCTGGCTACCCCGATACGTTTCTTTGCCTCGCCGTGCAGAGCGTCCTGCCTCATCGAGCTTCCCATCAGCGTCGGTTTCACCCGGGGTGTCTCACAACCACATGTAAGGCGCCTGTGGACGCCTTGCTCACGGGCTGGGGGAGCAAACTCGGCCCGTTGACGGGAGTGGCGGCACCGGCGGTCCTTCCACTACGGGATACCGTGATGATATCACTGCCGGGTCCGGTAGCGGACGGCGTACCTACATCCAATGTTGGTGTGTGTTTGGGGGATGGGCTCCAAGCCAGCAACCGCTCTTTGGTTCTCTCTCCGGAGGTGTGGCCCTCGCCACCTGCCCTTCTACAGTGCCTGGCTTGGGACTCTGCCGATATGACAAACGGCTCAGATCAGTCCGGTTCGGTCACTTCTGTTCCCCGACACACGCGCACACCCTCACTCTCACTCATGGTCGAGCAAACCGGGCACCTCTTCGGGTTAGAGCCCCCCCTTGGCGAGTGTGTAATTATTCGAAGGTGGTCTATCTTACAACCTCAGCGGGGCGGGACCTCGACGGATGTGATAACTATCAAACATTCTGTCGACGCCAGCTGAACGGCATCCCCAAATCGGACATGAGCACATATAAGATTTTCCGCGCGGTTTCTCGCTTCGCGGAGTGACTCCTCGCCACCACCAGTCAGTCTCGGCGGCCCCAATACGAATACGCTCTCCGCTTCACTCTCTCTCGCCGCATCTTCAATCTGATTCACTTTAAGTCCGTGTCCTTCCCCCCCTCTCCGGCGTCACCCCCGACGCCAATCGGATCCGGAAAGGAGGGGGACAAGGCCCCGACCGGTCTGTGTGCATGCCGGCGTGTGGAGGCTTGGCGTGTTGACGGATACGTAATGACATGGGGCTATAGGTCCCCTCACTTTTTTTAATACACCTGGTTCTCCATCCGGGTGTAGACTTACGGAGTTTTCCCTGGCGCTACGGTGGGAAAATCCCGACGTGGCTTTGAGACTTTTTGAGGCTTTTGAGGCGTTTGGAGGCTTCCAAGGCTTCTAAGACACCCCGATAATTTGGACCGCCCGCCCGCCTCACACGTGTCGAGGGCCCCCCTCCTTCCGCATGTCTCATGTCTCGGTAGATGGGGTTTCCGCGCCAGTGCGGTACAGACGGAACGCCGCAGAGATCCAGCCCAGCCAGCCCCCGGCCGCGATGCTAAACAATTCTCATTCACTATGATGGCCAACTCAGCGGGAGTAGCAGGAGTTTTCGAGCCGCAACTAAAATAAGCAAACCAAGCACAAGGCTCGCATGAGGTGATTCCAATTATCAACATATTGTAATAAGCCGCCCAGCAATCGGTGCGGCAAGGCCCTCTATAGGAGCAAGCACACAACCATGACTGCTGGTTGGCTCTGATTAGATCTAGACGGCCGACACCCACGAATAGGCAGCTAGCTCATGCATACACGTTGAAAAACATCCACCGCAATGGCCAGGCAAGCCATATAACGGCAAGCTCTCGCCACCTTGTAAATGGCCAGATTGCGAGCTGTCACACAGTCTTTTTGTTGTGATATACTCAGCCTTGAAGATATCAGGGGTCAATCTTGACTGAACTACCGAAAACACTGCTACATGTAGCATCTAAACTGTGCGACGAGACCAAGTCAGCCCCCGAAACAGGATCTCTCGAGTTTACGCCTGAGCTAAGGCACCTTTCCATACAACCCTCAATGTGTAATTGAGCGGGTCTGCCTCCCCGGAAGGATTTGGGAAAATGGGCATTTTCTCGAGCCTCATTCAGGGGTAGAAAATCATACATAACACCCACCACCTCACATCCATTCACGAACCACACATCATTCCAGCCCCTAATCTCACATTGCACGAAAGGAGCGGAGGTCCCGAGGGATTAGCCTGGCCTAGATGTCTCTTACTTTTGTTTTCTTTTCCTCGAAATGTAAAACATGGTGCGCAGTATCCATCATCCCCCCCCCCCCTAAAAACCAATAACAAAGGCGGTGATGCAAATAAAAAAAACATCTTATCTGGTATCACCTGACCGAGGAAGGTGAGCTGCACGCTTTGTCAAGCCACTGAGGTTACGTTAGCAATGAATAGCTGGCTGCCTCGTCTGGCGACAGCATAGTCTATGCCGACCCCTGACGCCTGTTAAGGGACCTAGCGTCTACTTTGTAAAGTCGAAGCGACAGATGACTGTCACCAGCATTACCACAGAGCCCATTCCCCTACAGATGATGAGTTATAATGAAGGGCCTTCAGCACTGGAACCGGCACTGTCAGCACAATAACTTCCCTTGCATGACAAGATTCTCACGAACCCCATCGACGCTGATAACTAATCTATCATTTTTTTATCTTGCGTATCTTTATTCCTGCCGTTTTTGCATACTTGGCTCCTATTTGCTCCGCGGAAAAGAGACTGCTCTCGTTATTGCCGTGCCGTATGGCGCAGTTCTCTAGCTTCTTCTCAAGCAGCCCTTCGGGGATATCAAACAATACCTATCAAAGCCACTCGATCGCCAGTGACATTTGGAGACATCGGTCTCAAGTCTTCTCTACCTTCAGACCTGCCCCCTGCCTATTCCGCATTCTCACCCTTGTACATTGGTACCATGCCGCCTCATACCGTTGAGGCAAAAGAGGAACTCGTGTGAAAGGGGTCCAGCCCTCGCGATTCCGACGTGGCAGCAGTACCTTCACGGCGAGGCTTTCTAACGCGTTATCAAGGGCTAATCAACATACGGAACGAAGAAGCAACCGGAGCGTCGATGTGCATCCGCGGGCAGAGACGCAACGATCGTCCCCAATACCATACACCCTGAGCCAAAAGGGCAACTGATGGGATCCGCAGTGAGCATCAGAATGATGCACCCACCTTCCTCATCCGAAGAGCCGCGTCACATCACACCCCCCCCCCCACACACGGAGAGAGAGAGAGAGATACAACGCTTACAGTACAGCACGGTTACTAACATGAAGCAGATCGGCATAGCCCATAAAACTCAGCCCTCACTAGCAAGCCCTTATCAGCAACACGTCCGTGGCGAGACTGCGCATGGCGTAGCCATAGAACTAATTAGCTATCACACGACAAGAAGCAAAGCCCTTGCGCGCACAGCGAGCAGCGCAGCTCACTAGCCCCGTCCCAAGGAGGGAGTCAGCTTCACCGGCGCCTTAAACAATGAGCTTTGAGCTTGTATCATTGTCGATGCTGTATATGTATTGCCGTATTCCTGCACCACTTCACTTCGAGAGCGGATGGGATGGCAACCCAAGAAATAGGGGAGAAACAACAAAGTGGCGGGCGGGGGGATTAATATGAGATTGCGTAATTTTGCCCTATCTTCAGTTTCGTAGTACTGTTGGAGACAGGACCGGGGCCCAACTCATGGATAAGGTTGGGCGTTGGTTTGGGCACTGGCTTGGCCACTAACTATTGACATCCTCGACAGCAAGTTAGCTATCGATCCCGCATCATTATTGACATCCGTATATAAAGGCCAGTTCCCTCGTGTGGCGAGGTAAGGATCACCCTTGAGGCGGGTTACCTTCAAGAAAGTACGTGCACTGGAAACACAGCCATCATACAGTGAGTGAGTCTCAAGTCGCTCTCACTCCCAACCAAGGGCCCCCGGCAGGCAGCAAATACCCGAGAGCAAAGAACAAACTTGACAAACCCAATGTTTACAGAGAAGCATGACATACTGCAAATAAAATCCCCGCCATAGGCCGTTTCGACTGCTGGTGTGAGACTCGGGTTCGGAATGTCACGCACCACGGCCAAGAGAGTCGGATGAACCACACCATACCTCCCGTCATCCATGACTCTCTACCATCCACGATCCCAAGGGTCTCGACGGGGATAGGATGCTTGCTGTGTGCCGTCCTGGATCGAGACTCCCTCACAGTAGGTACTTATGGTGACCACTCCTTGCCGGGGAACTACACAAGAATTTCCAGGTCGGGTGGGTTGGGCCGATGCTGAGCTCCAGTGTGGTTTACCACAAGGTTAAAGACAGGGCTTCCTTCCACATGCGAAATGTGGCCTGATTTCCCTTGGGTTGACTAAAGCAGGATCTCTTGCTGTTGTTGTGGAAGGCGTTACTGATGTCGGTTGTGGGAGAGGTGGCGTGCTCGCAGGTTGACGACTCGATGTGAAGTCGAAGTTAGCAAGAACAACCCCCCCTCCTTTTCCTAATCGACGTAAGACTGCATGCGAGAGTGTGGCAGCATCATCAAACACCGCAAACGCCTCCCATCTTTGTCCATGATTTTCAACATTGCGCCTGCCATCCGTTATAAAATCCCCCGCCCCAACGGCTGCAGCTCGGGAATCGCAGGCAGGGGCATGTCTACCTCGGCACACATCCATATCATCCGCCTGCTTGTGATCCGGCCAGGAACAGCGTCTTGAGGCCCTTGGTTTGCACGACGTCAACGCCGCATGCCCGGGAAGGACGATGCACCCCGGATTCCAATCGTGCACGAGTCGTTCCGGCGGCCCACCAACCCCAGGTTTTTCTGGATGGGGAATGCGACGCTTTCCGTCCATCCTTTTTGTCCCCCTCTCAATCGACGAGTCAGTACGAAGTACCGTCTCAACCCAAACCAGAGGATCTTTATTGCTCGCTTGCGTCCCGTGCACACCACTTTATGCTGTACCTATTCCCAGGCTTGATCGCCTTCAACTGAGTGCGGTGTGGTCCCATCTTAGATTGCAACGGTGTGTCTCTTCATAACGAAAAATCCTTTGTTTTTGGGTGGGGGAGGGGGGTCTCGAGGTTCCAAACGGACCCGCCCTCCGGATTCCGGGAACCGTGGCGAATTTGCGCTGCATTGCACTGCCTGCGCATGCAACCTTGAGCCAACTGCATGAGCAGGCGACATCAAGCCCACAATGCGTTGCGTTGCTTTCCTTCCTATCATCTGCGGGAAATCATTCCAAAGATCGTTCTACGATGAAGTGGGAAACATCGCCGGCCTGGGTCCGGCCGGCTGCCCAAGCGACCCGGTGAAACGCACGGCGCACTGACTTGACGGACTGCCACGGTAGCATCGGTCCCTGAGCCGTGATTTGCAAGAGACGATTTAGCCACCACCGGTACCAAACAAACCACGGGCTTGCGACGTCTCTGTTGGGCAACGGTGACGGTGGATTCGAGCCCACGTTGAGGCATGCCTCACTAACAGACTTCGAAGAACGTTCTACTTTGGGAACCGGATGTCCCATCCGGGAGAGAGAACTGACAAGCGAACGGCCCCGGCGTTGCCAGGCCGGGATGGATAGCCGGACTCGTCTCCCAGTTCGTCCTGACTATACATGACAGTCCCGAAACAGCGTCGGCATCAAAGATGGAGGCGAATGTCACTCGTAGCGACGGTCCTGTGTTCGTCGTGTTTAATGAGGACCTGTCAAAGTCTCGGGTACGGCACGATAGATCAGCCCAACCACCAAAAGGAATCGGTCCTAAACACAGCCGAGTTGTTGGTGTACCACGTTTCGCAATAGCTTCTATTGTTTCGTTATAGAAACGACGACAGATCGGGAAGTTTGCCTGGCGCCATCACCCCATCATAGTATCAGCTTCTAGCGGATCTCCCTATTTTTGTCGGACAAAGAGTCCGAGATACCGTAAAAGAGCGAAGAACTTGTCGACAGATTCTTGTCAAACTGCAGCGGAATCCGTACTCGAGCTCCCCCAAGCTCCCAAGAACCCCACCGGTTCCAACACCGAGGCGGATCCGGTGTTTCGTCACCGGAAACAAGGGCGGACCAGCCATTGAGCGCCCCTTGCTGGCTTCAAAACATGCGGGCCCGCTTGCCCGGCCCCTGCGTTGCCTGGCTCCCTGGCTACGCTACCCTACGCGATATTTCCCACGAGGTAAGAGGAGCCAAAGTGGAAAGAAAGCAAGAACGGGCCGGCTTGGCCATCGAAATCACAAAACGTCTTCTTCGGGCGTGCGGCGCCTCCCCCCCTGCGTGGCTTTTTCCCCTTCGGCTCCACTCTCACGGCATCGGAGATGCAGCCGAAAACCGTTAGCGCGCGCCGTCCCGCAGCATTCTGTGGCAGAATCGGGGATTTGTTTCGCAGATGATGGAAAGGGGCCATGGTTCATGTTGGTGGCTCGCTCCTCGACGCCCGCATACGGGAGCTGGGAAGAGGGGGGGAGGGCCGTCGTGAGACGGAGACGGCAGAGCCGTGTCTTGGGAAGGAGCCGGAGCGCAGCACGGCATCGCGGCGTTGGACAAGATTGGGGGAAGCAATGAGACGATGCGTTCCGTACATCGTATCATGCTGGTTTCGACGGCAGTGGATGAGAGGGTTGGTTGAGCACAGTATGGTATGTACAGTATGCCCGTACAGGACCTGACCCCCTTTCGTTCGCTTTGGGGCGTATGTAATTCCGGAATGTATCCGTGACGTGATGCGATCTGCAGGTACCAGACGCACTGCAACTCTACTCCTGCTCTTTTTGCGGACAATTACTACTGTGTATTCGAGCAGCATCCCTTTTCGACTGCCTGCATCATCATTGCTGCGAAAGGGCGAGAAGGCCCTGCCGACGCGCGCAAGCACGGACAGAGAGCGTCGTCTGTGCTGAGACATCGCGAGATTGATGGTCAATGCGCCGAGAGGGTGTCCAGCAACCGCGCGGTTGGGATTGAAAAAAGAACGTTTTTGTTTTTGTGACGGGAACACATTTCCGGGTTTGTCATGCCGTCCGGCGCCGTTCCGTGCGTGCCAATTCTCTCACCCGCCTAACCAGGGGAGACCGATGAGAGAATTGTTGGTGTGAGTTCTTGCTAGGCTGTCAAACAACACCGAGACCCGACAAAGCTAGACGGGCCGATGTGGTGGACCCCCTGGGAACCGTTGCAATATTTGCTTCTTCCTAGTCTGGCATTGATTACCTGGGTTGCAATATAGCCTCCAGCGGGCGCCGCCCTCTGCGTAGTCATCCATCAGGTCAGCGGCAGGGCTGGCAGGGCGCACTGGGGCTAGATTGCGGTCTGGTTACCGCGTTCCATCTGTCTGCGGGATGCAGGAGGCGTGGTCCGGAACGCGCGGGCAGGACACGGCATTTAATTATTACTACGTACTCCAGAATATGGGACTGGTGGTTGGTTAAGCGAGACCTGGGGGTAGGGAGTTCGTTATTCTGGGAGTTTGTGCGACTCTGGGACGGGAGGACAGCTGCAGTTGTAGCAGGCCGGATACGGGAAACACAAAGTTCCCAGGTCGCTGGGAGCGGACGACGAGGATCGGGATTTTCACTCGCACAGGAAGTTCAATCTCGCGTCGCGCGCAGGCAGCGGGCCTTCCCCATTCGGGAGGTGGGAATGCCTTTTTGGCTCGTGTAGTTGGTTCGGGTGGTGGTGGAGGAGGAGGGGAGGAGGGGCAGTGCGCTCGCGTGGGGTTGCCCCCCGCCTCGGTCGGGAGCGATGCGGGTCGTCGCACGAGGGTGCGTCGAGGCGAGGCGAAAGGGGTGTTCGATGTTTCTTCTAGAATTTCGTCAAGGCCTGGCTGGCTGGATGGCTGGCGGGTGGTCGAGCGAGCGAGGGGAAATGCGGAAGCGTTTGGTGGCTGAAGGGATGGGAAGCAAGCGAGGGATAGAACGGGAAAGGGCCGTGCGTTCGGTTGAGCTCCCGGATCGCCATCGGCAGCGAGTTTGCATTGTTGTCTTGTCTTGGAATCCGGGTGTCGTTCTGATACAGCTTGGGCGGAAAACCTGTGTTTGAGGAGATCGCGGTTGGGGATACTCAAGGGACGGATCGGGTGCCGGCCAATTGCAGGGAGGATCAGATGTCGTGCAGGTCGTTGCCTCATCTATGCGGCGAGGTGTCTGGCTGCTGTTCCTGTCCTATTCGAAGTCCTCCTTTGAGGATTTCCACCCTCTCCCGCCACCTCCACGCAACTCTTGGGTTTGCTGTGCCGGCGGGAGGTTGTGGCTGTGATGACGTCTCGGTGTCCCGAATATGAAGGAGCCGACGTCCCAGGCTGTTGGTTCAGTTTGAGGCGGGAGGAATGGTGCATCCAACTGTTCAGATCTGCCGCCCCTCCGTCTCATCCACCCGCGCGGGCCGATTAACCATCAAGGCAGACGGCACTTTTAGCTTCTCTAACAACCCATGGTAGCATCGCGGGCGGCGAGGGTTATGCTGCTGACGAAAATTTTGATATGGGGTTAGGCAATCGAGGCAACTTGTCGGAAGCCTCCTATGTACTATGTAGAGTCGACGCATTGGGTCACCTGCTGCTGCCCAGGGGATAGCGATGGCTGGTGTGGGGGACCTGGGGAAGACCCCATCGCTCGTGGTTTTCGCTGGCGGCCGGGAGCAAGACGATGAAAGATGATGGACGGCTTCACCTAACCGCGCATTTTGACGGATGTCTCACATCATCCTGGTTGGGGAGAGGACGAAGGGGGCTGTCCTTCACCGCGCTTCAGCATTTTCGAATTGCTGAGACGACAAAGCTTCACAAGAGAGGTTGCTGGAACTGCAGACATTATGAAGCCGTGTAT